CTGCGGAATGAAGCCAACACGTATGCGCTGGCGACGCACCTGTTTTGGTCGTTGTGGGGCTTTATCCAGGCGACGCAGTCGACGATCGACTTTGACTTTGAAGCGTACGCCAAGTGTCGCTGGGCGGCGTTCCACAGCCAGCACCAAAACAACATTGTTTAGCTTTGCATCTCTATTTTAATCAATTACTTGTAGTATAGCGCTGGGCCTAAGAACTCATTTCCGTCATGCGCCTGTAGTGACGGTAATGCACAGATTTCTTGAGAGCGCTACGGTGTGGGCGGTGTCTGTTCAAGAAGAGCTGCCTCGGCTTCGAGCTCCTTGTTCTGGCGCTTTTGGGCCTTGGTTTGGAGCGTCGAGAGGACACCACTCATGGTGACGATTTGGTTGCGAATCTCACGCACACCGAGATTCTCTTTCGAGCTCAGTAGGTGCAAAATGGGATGCATGCGCATGTACTTTTGAACGCTGGCCTCGGCCGTCGCGATTGTCTTCTCAAGAGCAGCTGTCGAGAGCGCGTCGACCTTGGTGAAGACGACCTGGAAGTCTGTGTCGAGGTCTTCCATGAGGTCCATAAAGTCCTGATCCACCGACGTAATGCCGCGACGACTGTCGATGAGCAGAAACACTAGAGATGACCAATAAAATGCGATCGTGGCAGGACGAGGTAGCGTACCATGCTTGAGGTTGCTGCCCGTGCGATGCTTAATATAGCGACCGACAAGGCGATGCCAGTCGTCCACCATCGACTTAGGCGCTTGCGCAAAGCCATATCCTACATCCGAGCATGAGGAATGAGTATCTCATGTTGGTGATGATGGTACCAGGCATATCGACAAGTGCAATGTCGGGCTGGCCACCGGGCTTGCCGCCCACCGACACAAAGTGCAGCAGCTGCGTCCGACCAGGCGTCTTGGACGCCTTCATGATCGTGGACGACGTCAGAGCGTTGATGAGCGATGACTTGCCGACATTCGAGCGTCCGGCAAATGCGATTTCGGGGACATCGCCACCGGGCAGGTCGGCCTTCTCGCTCGAGCTGAGGCTGGCCATGCGCTGCGACTCGAGGGCCGAGAAGACGCGCTTCACGAAGGCTTCTTCATGGGGCTTGATCGACGGAGGCAACTCGACGTCCTTGAAGAGCGACCGCAGGGCGCGGAAGCTTGCGTTTGATCCGCGCTTCGCCATCGAGCCAAATTCAAGTGTGCAAGGCGCGATGCTATTGGTCCATTCGGAATGGATTGTTTCTTATTTTCGGCACATATGGTGGGAAATGCCACATTTAAATCTGCTTGAAGTTTGTATGGGCTGGCGACAGGGGCCAGGATTTTAGCTTGACAGAGAGAATCATGAGCTCCGACGAAGGAAGCGAGTACGAGTACGAGTACGAGAGCGACTATGGCGGCTCCCAGCCGGACGAGGGCGAGGAAGAGATGGTTGACGAGACGGCCGTCAAGATCGAGGTACATGAGGAGCGAGGCGACGACGGGGCTCATGGCGGTACCTAGAACACCTTCTACGAGGCAGACGACTGCAAGAACTCGGATCCGACCCGCGCCCTCCAGCTCTTTCTCCAGGTCGTGTCACTCCAAAGCGAGTCGACGTCCAAGGAGAAGGACAACACCAAGTACCGCTTCATGTCGCTCGAGAACATCGTCAAGCTCTGCGCGCACCTCGGCAAGCCCGACGAGATGGTCGGTCACTACGCCGAGATGCTCCAGCTCCTCCCGAACGTCACGCGCAACGAGTGCACGGACTCGATCAACAGCATCCTCGACATCGTCTCGTCGCTCTCGGCCACGATCATCTCCAAGATGTACACGATGACGCTCGACGCGCTCCGCGTCGCGAGCAACGACCGCCTCTGGTTCCAAACCAACATCAAGCTCGGGAAGCTCTACCTCGAACTTGGCGACTACGCGCCGCTACATCGCGTCTTGGAGGAGCTGCATGCGTCGTGCAAGCTGCCCGACGGCTCGGACGACACGAGCAAGGCGACGTCGCTCCTCGATGTCTACTGCTTGGAGATTCAGGTACGACGCCGAGGACAAGCACCATAAATGCTCACACATGGATTAGCTCTGCACGGCCACGAACGACACGAAGAAGATGAAGGTGTTGTACCCAAAGACGCTCGGCTTGGACGCGGCCATCTCGGACCCTCGCATCATGGGGTAATGTGGCCTTGCCCAGGAAGGCGCATGCTGACCTTGTCTTGCAGCGTCATCCGCGAAGAGGGCGGCAAGATGTACATGAGCGAAAGCTTGTGGATGGATGCGTACAACGAGTTCTTCGAGTCGTTCCGCAACTACCAGGTTCGTTTACATTTCTGGCTGCAGTCGGCTCATGTCATCGATGCACTTAGGAAGCAGGCAACGCTCGCGCCAAGCAGTGCCTCAAGTATGTCGTCCTGGCCAACATGCTGGCAAGCTCGGACATCAACCCGTTCGACTCGCGCGAGGCCAAGGTCTTCAAGGACGTGGACGAGATCAACGCGATGTTGCTCCTTCGCGCTGCGTACGACAGCAACGACATTCAGCAGTTTGAAAAGATCCTCAAGAACCCCAAGAACCAAATCAGCAGCGATCCTCTCATGAAGCGGTGCGCCATTCCGCCTTCTTGTTTGCATTTCGAATCCTACGTAGGTACTTGGACCCGCTCCTGCGCAACATTCGTTCGCAAGTCATCTTGAAGCTCGTGGGCCCGTACCAGTCGGTGCTTTTGGCATCGATTGCGAGCGTACGACAGCACAGGGTGCTTGCGATCGTCTTGAGCACACACTTTTCTTGTAGGACATGAATATTCCGGTCGAAGACGTGGAGTTGCTCATGGTCGAACTCATCAACGACGGTCGCTTGCACCGCAAGATCGACCAGCAGCGCGGCGTGCTCTTCAGCTTAGAGCACCAGCGGTAGAAGGCTTCGGAGAGAGCAATATGGCTCACACAAATGCGTAGGTCGCGCGAGACGAACGTCAAGACGGTCGAGGCCCTCGCCAAGTGGACTTCTGCGCTGCAGCAGCTCAACACGGGGCTCCAGAACCGCCCCACGAATGTCAAGTCGATGTGAGATGGTTCATCCTGAGCAGTACACGTATTGGATCTTCTTGCTACAAATGTACTACGACACAGACGCAGCATCGAGTCTAAAACGCCGTCGCATGGATCGTCACCTACGATACAGATGTGGCTCGCTGCACCATGCCCTTGTCGACATACCGTCGGAAACTCGAGGTCATGGCGGCTCTGAATGAGCTTGAGCTCGCCTACAAACAAACGAGCTGAGCGCAGAACGACAGCACTTGTCGTACGGTTCGCAGATTGCGCGGCCGACGTGCGCTTGAGCACGGCTTGGATGGACGCCACGATGTTTTCAACGGCCGACTTCAAGCCCACATCGGGTCTCGAGAGCCAGCCAAGGAGTAGCGCAGCAAAGAGGTCCCCCGTGCCCGAGTAGTACTCCTGCAGGCGCGGGATTTCCATCTTGAACTGCTGGAATTCGGTGCCTGAGATCTTCTCGCTGGCATAAATGAAGAGCGTCTCGGCATCGTCGCTGGTGAGGAAGCTGCTAATGACGACGATCTTGGGACCCATGCCATGGAGGTGGCGGCACGCTTGGATGACGTCCGTGTCGCACGTCATGGGCAGACCCGTCAAGAGCTCGCACTCAAACTACGCCACCAGCTAAGATCTCGTTACAGAGCGAGCCAAGTCGTACCTGGTTGGGCGTCACAATGTCGGCCAGCGGAATGATCTGGTCGCGGTAGATGTCGACTAAGAAAGTATCAGATGTGAGCGAGATTGATAAGCCAAAGACGCGGACCGAGCTCGCGGGGCACGTAGAGCTTGTTCTCATCGCCCATGACCGGGTCGCACACATAGAGTCTACGACGCTGCATGAGATCGACTGCAGCACTGCAAGTTGACCGCGTACGTGTCCTTGTTCTTGGCACGGAGCTTTGTGAGCGTGTTGACAATGGCTTGGGCCAGGCCGGGGCTGCCAATGTAGCCCGTCAAGAGGTGCGAGTAGTTGAGCAGGTCGTTCTCTTCGAGGCCCAAGACCACCTCTTCAAGCTGCGCTGCGTCCATGCGCTGGCCGCGGAACTTCTTGTAGCCCGTGTGGTTGCTCAGATGCACCTGCACGCAGCGTCAAGCGTCTCATGATCGCGTGGCATGTACCGTGTTGAGAACGTCGACCTCGACGCCGAGGAGCTGCAGCGGGAAGACGGCGCTGCGGTTGCCCACGTAGCCATGGACAACGTGGGATTGGATCGAGAGCACGCGGGCGTCCGTCATGGCAAAGTTGAAAACACCCAGTATGGGTTGCGTGCCTTTAGCCTGCAGCGGCGAGTGAAACGTGCGGTTGACAACTGGCATCTTGCGATTTGTATGGCCATCGAAAAGACAGCTGGAGTGAAATCGGGGTGCTTCCTTGCCGACTCGTGTTCCCAGCATGCACCTTGAGAAGAGCTTCACGGTGCTATACGAGCACAAGGTCCTTTGGGCAAATGCGTACTTATGCGCCAAGAGCGTTGAGTTTCATTGATGGAGACCACTCAAGCGGTTTGGGAGCCTTTTCGCCTCAGACTGCGTGTGTCGACGGTGCAGACAATATCGGACGCAGTGTCTTCCAAAGCAGCACGTGTGGTGGCATGCGTTGGCGCCTTTTGGTATGCCAAACAATGCTAGTACCATGTTCTCTAGCGCGTCGGCGAGGTCGCCACCTTGACCTGGTGGTGGGGTGCATTTAGCCACGGCCGGTGACCGACTGCGTCCGGATAGAAGATGCATTGTCGCGGGTCTGTCTGGATAGAAAGTTATTGCTTCTCAGAGGTAATTTGGTCAATTCTATGGTGGTGGAGCCATTCCACAGTCAGTTGAAAATCACGAAGATGTTGGGTCGTTTGACGCAGGTTACTCGCGCGATGAAGCCGGCCGGCTCGCGCGGCATGGCGGGCCATGCCCACTCGGGCCCCCCGCCGACGGGCATCGAAGCGGTCATCCGCTCGAAGCTCCCGGAGGACTACCAGGTACATAGATTCCCATGCGGCTCGCGCGTCGACGCTCATCACATCGATATGTAGATCGTCATGGCGACGCTCGGTATCTACACGGTGCTCACGGCGCCTCTGTGGTTCCCCAGCAGCAAGAAGGAAGCCCCCAAGGTCGAAGCCGTCACGGCGCCGGCCTCGACGAACTCGGTCATCCCGTCGATCGCCGACGAGACGTTTGAGGAGTGGGCCAAGGTCGCTGGCAACATGGCCAAGTGGGAGGAGAGCCTGAACACGATCGGCCAGTAAACACAAGACTGTACGCCACCGTCCATTGTCACCATATAAACTACAATGACCACTCGTCGTTTGATGTCAACGGACGCCCATCTAGCTAAGATACAGGCTCTCTTCTTCGTTATCGTCTACAAATCACCGATCGTGCCAAACTGCTCGTAGCCGTCGCCTCGGAGCCGCTGGCAATGCATGGGCTCGTAGTGGTCGCCGCCGCGGTCGCCGCCCGTCATGCGCATGAGGATGAACCACGGCGAGAGGCCCTTCTCGCCCGTGTGACGCTGGCTCTGCGAGAGCGAGAGCGACGGGTCGAGCTCGTGTGGCCGGTGCGGCAGGAAAAACGTTTGGCCCATGCCCACGAGCACGACAAAGATATCCCGCTGGAAGGCCGTTGCGAGCGACTCGAGCACAATGTCGTCGCCCCACGCGACCCGCCGGTTGTCCGGGTCGTTGTCGATCGAGACGAGGCCGTGACGCGAGTACGTCATGCAGATGAGAAAGTGCTCGTTCGCGTCAAAGTCGCTGCCGACGCACATGTACTTGCAGTACGTTTCGACGTTGAGCACGGGCTGCGCGTGCTCCGAGTAGACCATTTCCGCCGCCTTCGTCCACGAGTACCCCCGGTCTTGGAGCTCGTAGATGCGCGCGACGAGCCAGTCCTTGTCGGCGCGCGGCGCCACAAAGCGGCGCGCTTGGGTCGGGCTCACGCCCCACCCACCTCGCAAGTCTGGGTGGTACAGATTGCGGATGGTTTGGTCCATCTTGGCCTTCTCGTCCGGCGTCGACGCGGCGTACCGCATGTAAAAGTGCTTGGCGGCTTCATGGCGGAGGCGGGACGGCGACAAATGCTCAACGCCTTCCGTGTGGATCGTGAGCTGCTCCATGCTGAGAAAGAGACAGTCGCCGAACGGCAGGACGGGCGCGAGGTACTTGACGCTGTAAGCCGTGTCGTGGGGCTCGTACGACACACCGTGCTCTTCGAGCTGGCGCAAGCACTCGCGGCTCTCGCGGTCCAAGCTCGGGCACTTGGACCAGCCCATGCCCACTGTGTGCTTCTTGTGCGAGTATGGCATGACAAAGTCTTCGTCTTCTGTCACAAGCTGCACGTGCTGCTTCTGGCGCGGCGTCAGCAGCATCATCGAGTCCGTCATGCCGCCCATGAGGCTGTACGTCGAAAACTGGAGCAGGCGTGAGTCGAGGAAGGCCTGTGCAGTGTTGATCGTATCGTTGTAGTCGTCGAGCTTCTTGATCTCGGTCGACGACCCGAGGCTAGGCATATATGGGATGGCTTCGTCCGCATCGGGAATATCTTCGACGATGGGCTGCATGACCGGCTTCTTCATGGCGACGACGCCCGTGCCCGAGGCTGAGAGCACCGGCGGCGGCGGCGGTAGATGGAGGTTCTCGGCGCCGACGAAGACGTAGTCCTTCTCCTCGTCGACGGGCGGCGCCGGCTTCACGGCGAGGAAGGCCTTGATCGCTTCCGGGATCATCATGGCGACGCGAATTTTATGGAAATGGACAGAACAGGGTAAGGCCGACGCTTTTTTATTCTGCCAACCGACTCGGACATACAGATATCAAGTTATAGAATAAAAAGAAGCACGGAAATTCAACTGGAAATAGATGCACTTTTATTCGGATAGCGATTGGCCGATTAATCAACCAATCAACGGCAGCGACAACGGATCTTGCCCAGATCAACGTCTACAGCTAACGCCCACACTCAGCACTCGAGTCTGCTGGCTGTACCTTCAAGGCAGCTCGGCCTCACCGCCACCATGTCCACCATGCCTCGCGAGCATAGACTATCGAAATACCAAGCATGCAGTCAACTTATTTCAAAGTTCAACGAAGGATGACGGCGCTGCGGGCCTTTCTTGAAGCACCCAGCAAACCGTTGACGGTTGTCAAGACCTCCGTGTGTCCCCCCAACGCGCACTGAAGAAAACAAGAGTAGACGCGTGTTCGTGGTCCAGTCTGACGGCTACAGTGATGCTGCCCTCGTATTCCTGCACCTCGGCACCGCGCCCATGTCTGTCTATCCACCCAATCGCAACCAAATCCATAGATTAGGACGAGGTATCCGCGGGAAACTGGTCTAATATCGCGTGGGCGTTAAAAGTGTGAATTGGCATAATCATCACAGCACTTCCGGCTCGAACGAGCACAAACCACTTGCACGACGCTAAAATTTCCCCAATATATCCATGTTGTATGCTTTTTGCACTTGTTTTTTGCTAAAGCTATCTCGTCGTCGGCTACGCCATTTTTGGGTACGTTGGTGCTTCGGCCACGTTGCACATGCCCTTGCCAGCGACGCCGCGCTTGAGGTAGATGTAGCCCGCTTCACCCCAGCTTGTGCCCCACGAGTTCTTGATCTTGAAGTGGTTCACACCGTTCGTGGAGCCGTAGCCGACAGCAATCACCGCGTGGTCCGACTGCGCACCCGGGCAGCTCTGCACGACGCCGCTCTTGTAGTTGCGCCACACGTTGTTGCCGGCCTCGACGACCACCGTCACGGGCTGCTTATCGAGTGCAGTTTGGAGCGCACCCTCGCCTTTGATGTTGACCGCCTTGCCCACGCGCGCCTTGGTCTTTGTGCACGTTTTGCACACGCCGTTCTGGCTGGTGCTACCCGAGGCGTACGGGAAAGCTGCCTCGGTGCAGAGACCGGTCTGGGCAATGTAATCCAGCGCCTTGTTGGGCCACCCGCCTTGGCAGCCGTAGCCCGCACTCGACGCGCAGCTCACGAGCTGCTGCTCGGAAAAGTCAAAAAGCGACTGAGTCACGAGGCAGTGAGCAGCTTCGACAGCGCCGACAGCGGCGAATGCCCAGCATGAGCCACAGCTGCCTTGGTTGCGCACGGCCGACATGCACTTGTTGGTCGTCCAGTCAATGGCCGTGGCTTCTTGTTGAGCTTGCGTCAGCGTCAGCTGAATGTCGTCGGCGCGCAGTTGGCGCACCGGCGCCTCGTGCGTGAACGCGCCTTTGACAAAGGCCGCAAATTCAGCTTCCGTCAAAAGTGCAAACTGGTTGTCGGTCGAAAAGACTGCGCCCTTGTGCTGCTTGTTGAGCTCGTCAACAATCTTTTGGGTGGTGGCAAACCGAGCAACCTCGTCGTCTTCGGCATTGCCGTGCGCCGGCTTGGGCGGAAGAAAGCCGTTGACCGCCGCGTTCTTCCCGGCCCGGCTCGACTTCCATGCTGCGAGCTTGGTCATGACCTCGGCCTTTTCGGGGCCAGCAAGACTGAAGCCGTGTGCGGCCGACGCGGCGAGGAGGAGGCACGGAATCGACTTCATCGTGGCAAGGCGCTCGAGAATTGAAAAATGAGAAAGCACAAACGATGCTAGCCGTGTTGCTTGCGACGTAAAAATGAGCTTAGAATTCGCGACTGTGGATGAGGTCAGTGGTCGGCAGCGATCTGCTTCTATCGCTTTCGACTTGCGTTTCTTAGCACTTGGTCTAGGGGCCGTCGAGGATGAGACGACACATGATACCATTGCACATAGCCGATGGCCGTCAAAGGTTCAGTTCAGCTAGCTACCACTTGCTGGACAAGATTTGTCGCCGCGTCCTTGCATCTCGCACGTTGCAGAGTGGCGTCAACCGTCGCGTGACCTTCCTCGACAAGGGCTTATAGACATGTTGTGGCCGAGTCTACACGACTCGGCGCAGCCCAAGGGTACCGAAATGGGAGCTAAAAGGATCGGCAATGGCATTTGGTCGCATGGGAGGATCAAGGCTGGTGTCTTGTTCATCTCCTGTGATGGAAGCCGGCTCGCCTGCAGCGATAGTGTGTTCAGCTACCTATGAGCTTGCAACACCTAACGGCCAAGGTCTTATCGCGATCCATAACGCGATGCGTAGATGATCAATGCATACCAGAGTTATAGGAAATAAAATACTCAATACTAACTACGCGTAAGAGTCTTTTCCATGCATACTTCGCGCTCCTATGCGTCGTCGTGGAAGTTGCGGGCTATTTGAGGTAGGAGAGGTCGAAATGGCGCCAGTGCAACCACGCTAGGTTCAAATCCTATCCCAAGCTCTCGTTCTCCGATATCAGCGATCCAGGATCCGCTCGGGCAAGGTGGTTGGTGATCGTTGAAGCTGCGGGTTCCAACGACTGGTTCCGGTATCACATCGCTTCCTCGGGGCCACCACTCCAAGGCTTGGGCTGGTGGTTCGGACTCCAAGCCTCAAGACCATCGACTACTAGCATTTCACATTCATGTACAGGGAGGCCGCCAGCTTTGCCCAATGAAGAGATTGCAAAGTTCACAAATCCAATTGTTGTACAAAGGCATTCAACACAGCTGACACTAACGAGATACATTTGGCGACGAACGACGTCCGCTAGGTCGACGCAACGGGGCCGTAGCCGCCACCGCCGGGCGACCGAATCGTGAGCACATCGCCCGGCGTCACTTGCACCGTGTTCTTGCCGCCCAAGTTGACTTGGCGGCCGTCCGGGTACTGCAACAGGTTCTGGCCGCGGGCTCCGGGCTCGCCGCCCTCCAGGCCGTACGGCTGGAACGCGCGCCGCTCCGAGAGAATGCTCACCGTCATCGGCTCCAAGAACTTGAGTGCGCGCACGACACCGTCGCCGCCGTTGAAGCGACCGCGACCACCGGAACCCTACACCGCGTTAGACTGTAATTTGTACCAAAGAAAATGGTACCGGACGCAGCCCAAATGACTCGAGGAGGACCGGGTAGCGCTTCTCGAGGATCTCGGGGTCCGTGATGCGCGTGTTGGTCATGTGCGTGTGCACGCCGCTGCGGCCGTGCCAGTGCGGCCCGGCCCCGGCACCACCAGCGATCGTCTCGTAGTAGCCGCCGAGCGTGTCCGAGCCAAAGGTAAGGTTGTTCATGCAGCCTTGGGACGCCGCGGCGGCTTTGAACGCGAGGAAGATGACGTCCGTCACGCGCTGGGACGTGAGCACGTTGCCGCCGACGACGGCCGCCGTCGAGCTCGGGTTGAGGATGCTGCCGTCCTTGGGGAAGATGACTTGGATCGGCGTCAAGCAGCCTTGGTTGAGCGGCAGGTCGTCGCCAATCTAGTCGATTTACATGTCAAACCATGGTCACAGCATGGCCACAGCACGTACGAGGAGGCAGCGGAGGCAGTAGATGATGGCCGAGTACGTCACGGCGGGCGGCGCGTTGATGTTGCCGAAGACCTCGGCGCCCGTGCCAGTAAAGTCAAAGATTGCGCTGTCGGTGCGGCGGTCGATCGTGATTTTGAGCGCGAGACGCGTCCCATCGTCCATAAAGTCCTCGGCGGCGACGCTGCCGACCTCGGGGAGGCCCTGCGACAGCGAGAACTCGTGCAGCATCGTGCGCACCGCCTGCTCGGCCGTCTCCTACGCAGCGTGTAAGTGCCATTATCGATCGTCAGAGGGTCAAGTACTTGGATGAACGTCATGTAGGCGGTGACAACGCGGAGCGTGTACTCGCGAATGAGGTCCTGCATGAGGTGGACGCCCTTTTGGTTGGCGGCGACCTGCGCCTTGAGGTCCGAGAGGTTGTCGCGGAGGTTGCGCGTGCCGATCGCGGGCCGCCCGACGCTGTCGACTTTGCCCTTTTGCAGCAAAATGTCGGTGATGCCGGCCTCCTGGAACTGGCCGTCGCGGCCGTCGACGAGCTTGAACGCGACAATGGCCGCGCCTTCTTCCGCCAAGCACTTGGAGAGCGGCGGCATCGAGCCCTGTTGACGATACATAAGCGCTCGTACAGAGCAACCCTGGGCGTTGTACCGGTGCAATCCCGCCAATGTCGGCGTGGTGGCCGCGACTCGCGACGAAGAAGACGATCTTGCCGTGCTCAAAGACGGGCGTCATGACGGTAATATCTGGAAGGTGGCTCCCGCCCGCGAGCTGCGGGTGGTTGGACACGAGAACGTCGCCTTCGCGAATGTTGTCGCCCCAGTACTCCATCTATCAATCTATCAATTTTTGTAGGTTGAAACAAAAAAGACATACCTGGAAGCGCACGGCTTGCTGCATGGCGCCGAGGTGCACGGGCAAGTGCGGCGCGTTGGCGACGAGGCCGCCGTCCGGCCCGAAAAGCGCGCACGAAAAGTCGAGGCGCTCCTTGATGTTGACCGAGACCGACGTGCGCGCCAACGTCCGCCCCATCTGCTCGGCGATGCCCATGAACCGGTGTGAAAACACCGAGAGCTGGATCGGGTCCATGACGACGGGGACGTGGCGCAAATCCGCTTCATTGTCGGCCGACTGCCTACGCATCGCCGACTGAGCTCGAATTCAAAAGGAGCTGCCATGACGTACTGCTCGTCGCCAAGGTAGAGGTAGAGGTCGCCGTTCGGGAGGATCTCGGCGTGCCAGTCGGTCTCGACGACCACAGTCGCCTGGTTCTGCATAATGACCGCAGGCCCGAGAAGGTGCGTCGCCGTGCCCAGCATGTCGCTGTGGCGGTAGACCGGCACGTCCTTCCAGAGCTTGGCGTCGTCGAAATAGAGCGGCGTCGTCGCATGCGGTGTCGCAATGGCCGCCGAGATCGTCGACGACCGCGCGTCATCGTTCGCCTGATTGGACGGCGGCGAGAAGGTGCCGCGCACACGAATGTCGTCAATGAGAATCGCGCGCTGGCTGAGGAGGAAGCCGAATTCTTGCTGGTACTTTTCCAAAAACGCCGCTTCAAAGTCAAAGCCCGCAAGCGATTGCGTGATCGGCGCCGCTGGGTCAGTCACAAGACAGCGCGTCATGAGCGCCGTGTCCGTGCCCTAGATGACATCATCAGAAACGCGACGCTAAGAACGTCTTACCTCGTAGCGCAGGTTGAGGTAGTAGTCGAGCGCGCAGTACGCTTCATCAAAGCCCTCACCCGTGAGGTCGCTGCGAACAACATTGGCAAGGTCGAGCAGGTTGGCCACGACACTCGGCTACGTACGTAGGATGGGTCCCATGTCGTAGCAAGAAGATGGACAATGTACCTTGGAAGCAGCCGAGTACGTCGACGACGCCGGCAGCTGCTTGTCAATGACGCTGTCGGCGAGGCTGAGGCCATACGCCGAGAGGATGCCACTGTAGCGCTGAACGTAGACCTTGGTCATGCTAGCATCGCGGTACAGTCAAGACGACCACATCCAACACATCGACGCACCCGAGGGCCTTGGCGATCGCGCACGCGTGCTGGGGACCCGCGCCGCCGAAACACGCGAGGATGTGGGTGCTAATGTCATACCCGCGCATCTACATTATTCGTCATCGACGTTCAGATCAAAGAGTGGGTGAAGTACCTGCGTCAGGTTGCGAATCGGTCGACACATGGCTTCGTTGGCGACGCGGAGGAAGCCGGACGCGACTTCTTCGACCGAGTATTGGACGCTCTGGCTCGCATTGATCTCGGCCGTGAGCGCGTCGAACGCCTTGCGCGCACCGTCGAGGTCCAGCGGCTCGTTCTCGTCTGCACATGTCACGATGAGTTGTCATGCTGATGCAATCGACGTGCAAAACGTACGTGGGCCAAAGATGTGGGGAAAGTACTTGGGGAGGATCCGGCCCGTGACGAGGTTGGCGTCCGTGACGCTGAGGTACCCGTTCTTGCGGTAGCAGACCGGGCCCGGGTGCGCGCGGACGCTCTCGGGCCCGACGACAAACATGTTGTTCTTGTAAAAGAGGCGCGAGCCGCCGCCGGCCGCGACCGTTTGGATGTCGAGCTGCGGCGCGCGGATCGGGACGTTGGCCGTGACGCTCTCAAAGACGTGGTCGAACGTGCCGTCGTAGCGCGAGACGTCGGTCGACGTGCCGCCCATGTCAAAGCCAATGACTACATGACAATATCGTACGCGTGAGCATGATATATGGATGCCGCAAGGATGAAGGATCATACCCGGAAGCGACTGCTGCGATTGGTGGTGCATGGGCGGGCGCGTCGTACGCGCGTAGCCGACGACACCGCCCGCGGGGCCAGACAAGATGGCGCGGTTGCCGCAGAAGCTCGACATGGGCGTGAGGCCGCCGTCCGACTGCATAAAGCTAATCTTGACGTTTGCGAGGCCGGCGTCAAAGCCCGAACAGAACGACGCGAGGTAGTCCTTGATGACTGGCGTCAAGTACGCGTCCGCGCAGGACGTGAAGCCACGTGGCACCATCTTGATCATGGGCATGATCTCAGACGAGAGCGAAATCTAGACTCTGTCGTTGATACCAGGCGTTAGCAAAGCAAGGTGAACGCACCTGGGTAAACCCGAGCTCCTTGGCGAGCGCACCGATGGCTTGCTCGTGGCGAGGGAACGTATACGAGTGCGTGAGCACGACCGCAATGCTCTTGATGCCCTTGGTGCGA